TAGAGCACCAGCCCTGAAGTCAGGAGGACCTGAATTCAAATTTGACCTCAGACACTTGACACTTACTAGCTTGTGACCCTGGGCAAGTCACTTAACTCCAATTGCCTGGTTCCCCCCCCCCCCAAAAAAAAATAATAGAGGACTAAGGCATCATTCTCAGGGTTGACACAGGGCAGAGTTGGTGGTGCTTCCTGGGGAACAGGTCTCCTAACCAAAGAGGGGCTGGGGCCGGGCCAATAACCATAGTTGACTGGGCATTTCAAATTTGGATTTTTATACATCAGAGTGAGAAAAAACATATATAGAGCAGCCATAGTTGGATCTGGTTTCTAAAGTTAGGTTTTAAATTTTTCTGTTTGCCAGAGTATCAAAAGTTGGTTATTATGATAATGCAGTTTTTTCTATCCACTAAATTCAGGGTTGTGAAATGCAATGATGAGTGAAGTATAGTCTGACCTGGTATTGCCATGGCTTCTGTTTTGGCTCTGACCAGGGCATGATCACTCAATCTTCTCTCTGAGCTAATCCTGCTTGCCTTTTCGCCTTCTCGTCGTGCTCTTCTGTGTACATTGCATCTAAGAGTAATTGTTTGATATCAGAAACACTAACTAGCTACTAATAATGCTTTCATTTTTTTCCCTTTTAGGTCAGGGTGAAAAATCTGACTTTGATAAATGCCTTCATAGAAGAAAACGCTCACTACACCATCAAGTCTGATTTAATAATACCCTTAGTGGAATTTTAATATGTTAAAAAGGCTTTCTTGTTCAGCAAATGGTTTGTGATATGTGTATGCAGTGGCCTTATTAAAAGTGTTAGTATCTTGCAAACCACAAGGTGGTCCATTCAGTAATAAGGTTTTCCCCTTTGTACAGTGCTGAAAATACTTCCATTGCTTTCTCTCCTAGATCATGGCTGCTTTTACACCGTGGTCACTAGAGTAGAAACAAAAGCCTCTGTGGGCTGAAGTCAGCCTCATTTGAATATTGCTACCCTTTTATCTCTGAGGATGCTGACAATTCACCCTCAGAGATCATCTAATCCATCACATACCAAAATAAGAATCCCCTGTACACTGATGTTGTGTCTCTCCTCCTCCGTCAACAAGCATTTATTAAATGCCTACCATATCCTAAGTGCTGGGGATAAAAAGAACGGCAAAAGACAGTCTTTGCTCTGAAGGAGCTAATGGAGTAGACGACATGAAACAACTATATGGACAGGGCCACTTGGAGCTAATGTCAGAGGGGAGGCATCAGCAGTAAAAGGGGGAGGGAAGGGCTTTTGGCAGAAGGTGGGATTTTAACTGAGACTTGAAGTAAGCCACGAGATAGAAATGAAGAGGGAGAAAATTTGACACGGAGAAAGCCATTTAAAACGTCTCCAGAATTTGGCTTAAGGAGGGAATACCATACACACTCAGTTGGGTATGGAAATCTATCTTACCCTACAGGAAAATAGGGGGAGGACAGAGTGGGGAGGGGGTAATCAGAAGCAAACACTTATGAGGTGGGACAGGGTCAAAACAGAGAATAGAATAAACGGGGGTGAGGGGGGTGGGATAGGAGGAAGGGAAATATAGTTAGTTTTCCACAGCATGACTACTATGGAAGTGTTTTGCATGACTACACATGTATAACCTGTATCCAGTTCCTTGCCTTCTCAGTGAGGGTGGGTGGGGAGGGAGGAAGGGAGAAAATTTGGAACCCAAAGTTTTGAAAACAAATGTTAAAAACTGTTTTCATGTGCAACTGGGAAATAAGATATACAGGCAATGGGGTATAGAAATCTATCATGCCCTACAGGAAAATAGAAGGAAAAAGGGATAAGAGAAAGGGGGAGGAATAGAAGGGAGGGCAGATTAGGGGAAGGGGTATTCAGAATGCATGCTGTCTTGGGGTGGGGGGAGGGACAAGATGGGGAGAAAATTTGGAACTCAAAATCTTGAAGTGAATGTTAAAAACTAAAAATTAATTTTAAAAAGGAAAAAAACAAAACAAAACAGAAAATGTCTCCAGAGTTGGGAAATAGAGTGTCTTGTTCAAGGGACAGCAAGGAAGCCAGTGTTCACTGGATTGCAGAGTGTGTGGAGGGGGTTAAAATTAGAGAAGACTGGGAAGATGGGAAATCTGGGCTGCATTATAAAGGGCTTTAAAAGCCAAAAAGAGGATTTTATATCTGATCCTGGAGGTGATAGGAAGCCTCTGGATATTAATGAATAGGGGGGAGGACCAGGGTAGATCTGTGCTTTAGGAAGATCACTGACAGCTGAGTAGAGGATGGATTGGAGCACTTGAGAGCCTTGAGGCAGGCAGACCAGCCCCCAGGCTTTTGTAATACGTGACAAGGATCTGTAGTAGAGAGGGGGCGGTGTCAGAGGAGAGAAGGGGGATGCATGAGAGAGACCTTATGGAAGTAGAAATGACAGGACTTGGTGACCGATTGGCGACACGGTGACAGGAGTCTAGTCTGAGGATCTTAGCTGCAGAATGAGACGTAGTTACACGGTGACTAGACTAGGAACATTTCCATTTGTGGGGGCGGGGACTTGGTGGTTAGTGATAGGAAAAAAGCAGAGAAAGAAAAGGGAGTTAATTAAACATTTAAAAATACTCTGGGGAGAAGCAGGAGATTCCAGGGATGACAGATAAGCTGGGCAGCTTTGTTATTGTCATGTTAAATTGAATATGCATTTTAAAAACAATTTATAACTCCAGTTTAATAATCTGTTCTTTGCATATTGAAATGTTCTTGGTTGTTGATGTTTAAATTTTAAATAAAAAAAGAACGTTATTTCTTTTGTGGTGGGAGGAGAACCCATTGCTCCCTGAGGTAGCCTTTTGTATAGCTCTTAATTATTAAGAAGTTTTTAAGAAAATCAGACCTAACTTTACTGCTTGCAATTTTTACTCATTAGCCCTTAGTTCTTCCCTCTTCAGCTTAGCAGAGTAATTCTTATCCCTCTTCCTTTTGAAATCGATTTAAGTACTTGAAAGCAGCAGCCATTTCCTGCTAAGTATTCTGTTCCCCAGTTCCTTTAACCTATCCACTATGGAATTATCTTGAGATTCTTCCAAGTAGTTGCCCTAGTCTCTCTAGTTTATCCTGATGCAACATCTGATTCTCTAGGCTCTGGAACAAAGACCATACTGTTCCTTTAAGAGCCAAATGGAATATTTTGGAAGTGGCAGTTTTAACTGTCAGTTTGGAGAGACTGTTGAGAGTGATGGCTTGAGGGTAGCTATGTGGCACAATGGATAGAGCACCTGCCCAGGAGTCAGGAGGACCCAAGTTCAAATGTGGCTTAAGACAATTACTAGTTGTATGACCCTGGGCAAAGTCACCTAACCCTGATTGCCTCCGAATTAAAAAAAAGTGATGGTTTGAGAGACTGAATTAACTTTTTGTGCTGTAACTGGAGAGAAACTACAGAAGACAGAAAATGAACATAGAGGGATCTTTTTTCCTCATAAAATTATTGTAACCCTTATCTTGCAAAAGGGATGAAGAACGAGTCTTAAAGGTGTTATTTTGCATCCTGAACAATGTAAATGGTGTAGGATTGTGTTCTAAGAAGTGGTTATCTGTAGTTGCATTGAGAAACCTCTAGTTGTGAACTTTTTCATAGCTAAAATAATGTAAATAATTATCTCTATCTTGGCTTTGTTATTGATTTCAATATTAACACATTGTATATTTAGTGCTTTTTTTAATAGTTATTTATTCCTAGGAGATCAAGGGATTTAATAAAGAGATATGAGTAACCACTGTTGGGAAATGAAGCTTTTCTAGTTTAGTAAATATTTAATCATTAAGCCAGGGCTCAGAGCTTGGTTGGTTAAGTATGAGGTATATTGAAACTTTATTTATGAAGAAATATATCAACATACCCCTAGATTACCTTAGACCTTGGGATAAGATTAAATATATGTATTTGCAACATAATTGGCTGGGATTAATTACACCATGATATGGGGGAGAAGAGCTTTAAACTGAATTATAAGAATTGAGTTATAAAACTAGGGAGTGGACACAGTGCAGTGGAAAGTGCTAGACTTGGAATCATGCGATGTAAGTTTGAATCCTGGCTGTGACACTATGTGTGACCTAAAAAAAAATCATGTTCCCTCTCCAGACCTCAGTTCCCTTACCTGCAAAACGAGACGTTTAGACCTCCAAGGTTCCCTCTAACCCAAGAGCTATCTTAGGAGTGTCACTGATTAGCTCTGCAATGCTGAGCAAATCATCTAACTTCTTGCCTCACACTTTTCTCATCTATAAAGTGAAAGAGTTGGTCTAAATGATATTTGAAGCCTATCAGCACAGGAGTTCTGTAAGTCTGTTTCTCTTGGGACTGTGTCACAGCCACATAAACTAAGATCCTTGCTAAAATTTTTAAAAATCAGTAATAGTTGAACAATTAAGCTAAATGTTTCAGTTTTTAATCCAGCTTATGGACATTTCAATATGGCATCTGGCATGTGACAAATTACTTCAAGATTCCAGAATTAAAAATAATTGCATTGTCATATCTGGCCATACTTGTTTTTATGGCAGAAAGCCGGGTTTTCTCAGGCATGAATGAAACATGAATAATTCTTCGTTTTTTAGATCTAAAGTATTTCTCTAAAAAGATCATTTGGCTGTAACTTATAAAGAGGAAAGTAAAAGGCACGAGAGAACATAGGATAGCTTTAAAAATAGAACAAAACTTAACTGTTCCCAAAGTTGAATTATCCTGTTTCTGGTTGATCTTTATCAAGCTGAATTGATGCTACTGAGACAGAGCTATTTGACTTTTTGTTTAAACTAACTAGATGGACAGTTTTTCTACAGCATAAGTGTGAGCAACAAACAAAATAGATGAATTGTATTAAAATTAACATTTTCACTGAAAGTACTTCAAAATTGTAAAGATGGTCTAGGCAGAAATCAATTCTAGTTTTTATTAAGAACACAGACACAGCCAACTTTCAGGAGCCAAATAATGACAACAAAGAAAAGCAGCGAATTTTTGTATTGTGTAAAACCAAAATTTATTTTTGGGCTACATTACAGAGGGGGCTTCATAAAAATTGCAGTTAGTAGTGGTGAGATGTGTTCATGCTAGCTAAGCAAACACTTTTGGGAGTTAGCAGAAAATGCTCACACACAACTGTTTTTCTGCTCCCTTTTATTTATGGCACAGTGGAGAAAAGAGCACTGGGTGAGGAAGTCAGGGTGCCTGGATTCTAGTCCTGGCTCTGTCATTAACTGGCTGGGTAACCATGGGCAAATCACTCACTTAGAAGCCTCTATTCTTTCTCTGTAAATTGAGGACTTGGACTAGAGGTCCCTTTCAGCTCTGATACTCTGTGACTATATGACAGTTGGATTAGTGCAGGTCTAACTGTATTTTCTCCTTATGGTTTGTAAGTTTGACTTTCACACTTAAAATTCTCAGACTGCTCTAAATGGAAAATCCACCTAATACTTTATTTGACCTTATCCAGTTTCCAAAGAAAGGCAAATTATGTACTTGTGAAGGATTCACTCCAAATCACAATCCAAACTAGATGGGGCATTAATAAGAACTGTGCTGAAGGGGTGTCAGCTTGAAAAAGTGACTCATTTTCTTAAGCTTTATTTCCATTCGAAGCAAACAAAATCCTCCTTGAACACCTAAAAAACATTATTGGCAGGCAAGTGAGTCCTTGAAGAGGAGCCTGCCTCGTGCATGCACATCCCCATCTGGATCCTTCTTGGGCGACTGTAGTCTGGATGCAAGGTATGGGAGACAGTAGAGATTGAGAGCTTCATCTCTCCCTCTTCCTCCCTCCACCTAACGGGGCACTCATAACTTGATTAAAGTGCTTTCCATATCTTATTTCATGTGATCCTCTTAACAACTCTGTCCCCCTCGACTAATGACCCTTGGTTATGTCTTCATTTAGCAACTTGACTCTGTTTTCATTAATTTCTGGATGGGGATTAGAAGGCATATTAATAGGCTACATTCAAATGGGTATGTATTTGATTTAAAAAAATGTTTTGCTAGACTCTTTAAGGTTGAGGAGGTCCTGAGATGGGTGACTAAGATGGATGGGTCTGGCTGAGCAATACCACGTATCCATCCTATGGCAGAATGGATGGTAGGCAGAGTAGTCTTACCATGGGGCACAGTTGGCAAGGTCATTCAGTTTTCAGGGGAGTACAGTTTAACCAGGTGCTGCACTTCTGTTGCATAGCCTGTGATGGGGCAGGTTTGGTGACTCCTCACATAGTTATACACACATCGGTAACAAAACACATAGCCAGAGGTGGCAAGTGCGGTGTCATTCACCCGAGTTTTGCGACATAAGGGGCACACCGACTTCAGCTTTGGCAACAGAGAGGAATCAGAGTTGTAGTCCAGGTGCACAGGGGGTGGTGGGGTGGGCAGGGCAGTCAGGGATTTGATGGTTTCTTGATTCTCTGATGAGTACCACCAATCTAGGAATTGAAGGAAGAAAACACCTACAGAAAGGCCTGTGGAGACGGACAAGGCAAGGCCTCCTATAGCTTTCTTGACAGCTGACTGCACCTTCTCTCGAATACTGTTAGGGAGGAACATAAAACAGACATTATGTCACAGGCCCTAAATATTATGAATTGTAAGAACATCCATTGTTACACTGCTCATGAAAATCACACGTAGGACTGCATGGCCAAGTTTTCCAGTATCACTACAGCTCTGTTAGGAAGTAGCAATTTCTATCAATCTGTAGTATTTGTCATCTCCTTTAGTGACCCCTTTTATTTAACTGTCTGCACTCTAAGTTATTTCCACTCTCAAATCCAAACTCTGGGTACTATACTAATATCCTCTTCAATACTACTGCTGTCTACAGTCTTTTCCTCTTTCAATCCAACTTGCACACTTCTAACTGATGAATATTCTTTATCCGCAGCCCTGATGTTAAGAAACCTGATGTCAAAACCTAAAATGGCTGCATACTGCCCACAGCTTTAAGTCCAAACTTCTTAATCTGGCATTCAAGGACTTATAAGACTTAGGGTCTACTTTTTTGGCCTTATTTCACAACACTGATGAAGGCTGTGTGATCTTGAACAAGTCACTTAACCTCAGTGCTTCAAGTGACAGAAACTTTGCAGATAATTCACTGATCTTACACCTTCTGTCTACATTGTGTCTATCTTGTATACACCTACACAATCTTATACATGTTGGCATGGGACTAGTGTGAGGGCAGGGACAATCCCCCCCCCTTTCTTTGTATCCCCAGGATTTAGCACATTGCCTGGCACATAGCAACAGATTAGTAAGAAATTCTTGTTGACTGATTGATCTGCATCGTTCCAGCAGGTACCTTCCCTGGAGCTATCTGCACTGACGGCAATTATGGGTCTGGTTTAACACCATTTCCTGACTTCCTCTACCCCAAGACGAGCCCTTGTTCTGATCCATAGCCTTTGCTTTACCCCCTCTTGGTCTGGGCTCACTGCTTAGCCCCTATCTGGAATCCCTTCCTTCTGATGTGCTACCATACCAACTTCAACTTTCAGACCCAATGCTGCCACTTCTTTCAGGAAGCCTTCCAGTGGGAGCACAGAGCTGTAGCATGGAGGGACCAGAGCACTACTCAACCCCCTCTTTTTACAGAGTTGGCTCCCTGTGTGCAGAGCAGGCTACTAAGTGGCAGAGATAAGATTTGAACCCAGTGGAAAGAGTGCTGGGACTAATGTCAACAGCATATAGTGACCTCTTATGTACGTATACACAAAGGGCTGTTACACTAAGTCCCCCAACCTATATAGGTCATGACCTCCCCGAGGGCAGTGGAACCAATTTGGTTTCAGTTTTGGCATCGATCCAAGCACTAGCAAAGTACTGTACTTAGGAGATACATGTAGTAGATAACTTTAAAAAAGCGCAGTGGAGAAGTAGCCTCAGAAGCAGGACAAAGGACACGGGCCTGCCTCAGACCCCTCCCATCAGTGTGTGCTCAGACAAGTCTGTGACCTCTTGGTCCCATAGAGAAGGGGCAGACTTGCATAGATAGAGGGAGTTCTAATGAAGTCACAGGCCACCCCCTTCTTTAATAAAAGCACATTAAATTGCAATGCCTTCCTCTTTCTAACTGGGAGTCACAGGTTGCTAAATATACTTTAATTACAAGTATTCTAGGGTTTTCTAGATGATTCACTGATAATGTAGGTTGTGTGAAGCACCACCACAGAGCCAGGTTATAAAACTACCTGAATGTGGCAAAATCAGGATGAGATTTTAGCATGGTATTTATGAATGAAAAACAAAGTTTTCTTAGCAATGTAGAGATAAGAATTTTTCTACATCCCCACTTTTACCTAGTGGCTGGCTGCTGCAGCCCACCAGCTCGAGCCAGCGCCTTTTCCAAAGCTCGGATATCCTCTGCCGAGAGTCTACCTAGACGAACTCCTGCTAAGCTCAGCAAGGGTGAATGATGCTGAGCCTTCCCCAGGATGTAAAGTAACTGCTGGATGAGGAACCAGCCTTCCCAGGCCATGGTCACAAAGGGATAAGCTGCCAAGAAAGCTCGGTAAAACCGCTTCCAACAGGAAGAGGGGGGATGGATGGAATACTCATCCTCTTCTCTTAGGCTGGAGACCAACTTCTCCAACTTCACTTTCAAATAGGGAAAGAGGACCAGGAATAAGAGGGACTTCCAAAGCTGCTTCTTGGGGAGGCCAGCACTGGCTAACCTCCGGACCCCTCCAGGATCTCCCATCACGATCCTCTTTAAGCCATAAAAGTTCTCAGAGAAGGAGGCACTGGCTTTAGACAAGTAGTGCTGCTGTAGCAAGAGATCCAGAAAAGTGAAGATTTCATCAAACCACCGCCAGAGGAAGCCATAACGGGAAGGGTTGGATTCTGCAAGAACCTAAGGCAAAACGGGAAAATTAACTTCATTGTGTAATGTAATTAATTACTGCAATAAGGTGTTTGCATCGTCCTGCAGACTCTGGGTCTCGGTGTGATGCATCCTTAACCTTGGTGATTGCCTATTAGCAGGGCTCCGCCCACGGCAGAGATTCCGGCACTTGGTTTCCGTGCCGGGCCCTCCCGGTGCGGCCCGGCGCCGTGGCACCTCTACATGCCACGCTGCAGAGCAGTGCCTGCCTCTCCGGCCTGGGGTGGTCGGCCGGCCCCCTCCCCCTTTACCTTGGCCACGTGCTGCAGGGCGGGCCTCACGGCTGCCATCAGACTGTCCTGCGCTACCACCTCGAAGATGGAGGGCCGATCATCCGCGCCAGAGGCGGCCGTGATATGAGCCCCGTGCTCGGCCATTGCGCCCTCTCTGTGCCGGGCCCTGGCGGGCACCAGACGTTAGAAGGTGACGAGGTACGAGGGGGCCATAGGGGAGCCTGGCCGTCCCGAACCTCCAGGAGTGGGGGCGGGGGCGGTGGAGGCCTGGGGCGGGGGGTGGGGCAAGAGCTCAGAGGGGGCCGCTCAGCCGGTGGGCGACGTGAGCCAGGCCGCCATCTCCGGGGCGAGGGGAGGAGGCCGGGACGGCCGCCGCGGCCGGGCGGGAGATTGAGAACCCGGGCCCCATCGAGGAGCCCGGTCCAGAGGGAGGAGGGCGCAGGAGTCGAGAGGCTTTCGAGCCGCGCAGCCGCACTCGGGCCCAGGGAACCCAAGGGCCTTACGCGGAAGTAGACGCTTCTTCGGCGGCGGGAGACGCTCTGGTCCGCAGACCGCTACTCGATTCTTCTTCGCCTCACTTCCGCTTCCGGCTAGGACCTTTAAATGGATCACACCCTCTCCGCCTCCTTCACCTCGGGGCACAAGTTCTAATTCACCTCCTTGGGCTGGCTCCTAGGGAACCTGGCGGGGCTGGGGTTGCCCTGGCCTTTTGGTTGGGCACGTTTCCTTCTTTGCCAGCAGTAAATCAAGTCCACAAGCATTTATTAATCGCCTACCATGAGCCTGAACTCGGGTTCAGATGATTGTTTGACCCTGGAGACCACGAGTATCAGTATGCTCATCTATAAAATGGGGAAAAACAACCTACTTCTTTGTACTGTGTGGATCAGAGATAATAATGGCTAGCATTTATATAATGCTTTAAGGTTTGCAAAGCGCATTACAAATGTCTTATTTTATTCCCACCAAAACCCCGGGAGGTAGGTGCTATTATTATCCCCATTTCATAGATGGGGAACTGTAGTAGAGAGGTTAAGTGGCTTGCCCAGGCAAGCTGGTAAGTGTGTGACAGTGAACTCGGGTCTTCCAGACTACAGGTCAAGGGCTCTATCCATTGCACCACCTAGCTGCCTTCTTGAATGCAAATCTATAAGATTATATTTACTAAGTACCTTACGGTATTATCCGAATTACATTTTTTGGCCAGGTCTCATGATTTCATCGATATAATAAAATTAGGCAACATTTACATAACATTTTAAGGTTTGCAAGGCACTTTTCACATGTTAACTCATTTTATCCTTACAGCAACTTTGGGAGGTAGGTAGTCCTATCCCCATTTTACAGATGGGGAAGCTGCCATCGAAAGAGGTTAAATGTCATGTCCAAGATCCCACAGCTATTAAGTGTCTGAGACAAGATTCCAACTCAGTCTTGCTGATTTCAAGTCATCTAGCTGCCCCACTTAGTGAGGAAACTTTTATTTTTTTGTCAATTCTACAAATGTTTACTAAGTGCTCATGACATAATACAAGGTATGATGCTGAGGATACAAAGAAACAAACAAAATATTCCCTGCCCTCAAGAGGATTACTTTCTTTTTTTAATTAATTTTTTTTATTAATTTATTTTGACTTATCAATAATCACTTTTGAGTTTAAAATTTTTCTCCCCCTTCCTCCCCACTACCCTCCCCAAGACGGCGCACAATTTGATATAGGCTATACGTTTACATTCATATTAAACATATTTTCACATTAGTAATGTTGTAAGTAGAAATTAAAACCAATAGGAGGAACCATCAGAAAGAGGAAACAACTCAACAGAAGAGAAAAAAAAAATAACAATTTGGCTTCCATAGTTTCTTTGGGTGTGGATAGCATTTTCCATCACAAGGCCTTTGGAGATGTCTTAGATCCTCATATTGCCAGGAAGGGTTAAGTTTATCAATATTAGTCATCACACAACATGGCTGTTATTGTGTACAATGTTCTCTTGGTTCTGCTCACTTCACTCAGCATCAGACCATACAAGTCTTTCCAGGTTTTTCTGGTCAGCCTGTTCATCATTTCTTATAGCACAACAGTATTCCATCACATTCATATACCACAACTTGCTCAGCCATTCCCCAATTGATGGGCATCCTCTCAATTGAGGAAACTCTCTTTGCCAATGCAGAGATGCACTTAACTGCAACTTACAGTCTTTGCCATCCAGTCAATACTTCAGAGGAATATCTGGAGCCCAAGTCTTCTGAGCTCAAGGTGGCTTCTAGAATATAGGGTAAACCGGTGCAGTGGAGTGATACTTAGACCTTAGAGTGATTCAGCATATCTTATATCTAATCTTTCAATTTCAGACTTTGCCATTAAAGGGGTTGTCCTTTGAAGTGTCATTCACTCTCAAATAGCTATTGAACAGATACTTTTTAGTAATCGTAAGGTGGACCATACCTTAATTTGTCACTTGGCATCTTACTTTGTTAAATGCATCATAAATGGTTGTTGAATGAATGGATGAAGGAAGTGAGGAAGACAAGCCTAGCAGGTGAAATAAATAATAATATAAAGCAGTGTAAAGTAGCCTGGCAAAATCGAAAGGATTCTGGATTTGTGGTCAGAAGACCTAGATTTCTAGTCTTGTCCGACCCCAATACTTACTCCCTGTGTGAGAATGTGCAAGTAATTTAAGCTTTCTGAAACACAGTTTCCTCAGCAGCACAGAGAAACACTCCAATTAATTTTGTAAACAACAAGGCACTCTCTCCACACACACTCACAAACATATTTATGAGAGCTGTCATATCTAAATACTGAATTGTATGATATTGAAGAGCTAAATGTACTGTTGAAGTTGAGGGACAGGAAAAATTAATGTTCCTGAAAGAAGTGGTTGAAACTTCAATGAAGGAAGAACAGGTAAATAAAATGAGGGGAAGGAACAGGGTCCAGGAACAACAGAAAAGCACTGAGTTGCTGGAATGCTGGGGAATGAGGATGAATTTATTTATCATCTCCATCAAACTCACATTTTTATAGGGCTTTATGGTTTCCGGGCACTTTGATCACCACAGCTTTGCTGGAAAGAACACTAAATTTGGAGGTAGGAGAATTGGATTTGAATCTATACTGGTTCTCCTTTACTTACTATTTGGGTGACCCTGGGTGTCACTTTACTTTTGCAAAAGTTTCTTAAACTGTATAAGGAGAGGAGTGGACTATATCATTCTTAAGACCCTTCCAGTTCTCAATCCTATGAGCTTTCCCAATTATTAAATGGGTGACCATGTATATGCATAGGCCATCTCTCCTGGTAGAAGAAGTAAGCTCTATGAGAACAGGGACTATTTTTTTGCTTTTTTTTTTGTCTTTGTGTCACTGGCACAGAGCTCACACTACCTTATAGATCAGAAGTACTTAAGAAATGTTTATTGAATTAGATTTTCCTGTTTCTGAAATAGGGATAATACTTGCAACTAATGAGCTTTTCAATCCTTAAAGTGGCATGTTATTTTTATACTGGCCATTGATTAACTATTCACAGAACCATCTAATAAATACCAAGAGGGGAAGACTGGTCCTCTTTCCTAGGGATAGATTCTTACATTTGTTAGAATGCCTGAGTGCTGGACTCAGGTGTCTGCAAAGTAAATTTGATTTGGGTTAACAACATAGAAGCAGTGTGGTGTGGTGGAAAGAGCATTGCATCTGTAGTTGAAGGACCCAGATTCAAATCCTGACTAATCCCTATCTTTGTGGCTTTTGACAAGTCCCTGTCCCAAGTTCTCTGGGCCTCAGTTTCCCCATCCATAAAGTGAGAAGGTTGGACAAAGTGGCTTCACAGCTCTCTCAAGCTCCCAATCTAAAATCACATGATTCCCTTTGGGTACCATCCTCCAATCTAGAGCCAGGGATGTTTGTGAACTGAATATTGGTTTATAAGGCGTAGAATTGGAAGAACATGAGAGGTCTCTTCCCTTCATGTTTTTATCCTATATGTTTTTATCGCCCATAGAAAGTAGGCTACCTTAGGGCATTGTTGGCCAGCGCTGAACACTTTGTAGCTGCTAAATAAATGTTTGTTAAGTTTATCCATATGACCTTGGGCAAATCCCTTAGCTTCCCTGAGCCTCAGTTTCCCCAATTGTAAAATGAGGGGGTGGGACTAGAGTGCCTTATAGCTCTGGTTCTTATGGTCGATTATATAGGTGAGGAGACAGCCTGGGAGAAGTGAAGTTCCCACCCATGGTGATCAGCTACATCTGGATTCAAATCCAGATCCTGGGTTCCATGTTTTCTGTTGGCAGAAGCACAAACCTTTTTGGGGAGCTCCCTTTAGAAGAAGGATTATTAACCTTTTCTGTGTCACAGCAATCTGGGGAAGCCTACAGAATCCCTCTTTCAGAATAATGCTTTTAAATGCAAACAATGTATAGAATTCAAAGGAAACCAATTATACTGAGATAGTTATAAAGACACATGTTTTTAAAAGTCCTCGGACCCCAGGTTGAGAATCTCTGCTTTAGAGAGCTTAGCCCAGGCGTATAATCAGCGACAGTGTCCCGAGAAAAAGAACTCCCGAGGTAGCCATCTGTAGAAATGGACCGTTTCTGCCTTGCTTCGTCTCCCTGGCACTTGGCCCAGCGCCCAGCACGCAGTAGGCGCTCAGTAACTGGACGCTTGTTCACTGACTGCCTCTTAAAGCAGCACCTCCGCCCCTCACTGGGGAGAGCACCAATCGGACTCGGGCGGGGCGGGCAGGGGTGGGGGTGGGGAGGTGGGGAGCGCCATCTCCATGACGACCAGACGCGCCGCCGCCGTCCCCTCCAGGGTTCGAGGTTCGCCCCAAGGGATGCTCGGAGCCTCGCCCCCGCCCCCGCCCCCACCTCCCGAGCGGCGCGACGCACGCGCCCTTGACGTGGGCGCTTCCTGTCGGCCATCTTTAGACCTGGCAAAGGGGGTTTTGCGCAGTGGCTGAGGCCGCCCCGAAAGGATTCGTGCCGGGCAGGAGCCCTCGCCCCGTTCTCCACCCGCCGCCTTGTCTCTCCTCGCCTCTCCTTGCCTCGTCCCTCCTACCCGCCGCTGGTGAGTTCAGGCCGCCCGATCCGTGGGGTGCAGGGGGGCAGTGGCGAGGGAGCGGGGGCTGTCGGGGCCGGGCGTGGCCGCGGCTGCAGGGTCCGGGGCGGAGGAGATGGGGGGCCCTGAGGGGCGTGGCCAGGTGAGCCCCAGCCGGGTGGGGTGGGGTGGGGTGGTGTTCTGGGGGATTGCAGCCCGGGGGATGCCCGCCGCCGGACTCATTCAATTAGCGCTAGCCGACCTCCGACCCCTGATTCGGGCTGCCGGGGCAGCTGCAGCCCCCCGAGCTCCCGGGAAGAGGAGGGGGCGATGAAGAGCAGGCTGGAGGGCGCGGGGCTCTCCCGGGGCCCCTGTGTGCAGACCGGGCCGGGCCGGGCAGGGCCTGAGCCTAACCGGGCTGAGCCGGCGCGGGCGGAGCGCTGCAGAAATCCACCCTCTCTTCTCCCTGTCCTCCTCCTCCTCTCTTCCTGTTCCCTCGGCTCTCTCGCCTTCCCTCCTTCCCCCTTCTCTTTCCCTCTCTCCTCTCTTCCTCCTCCTTGTGGTTCTATTCTCTCTTTCCCTCCCTCCTTCTCTCCGTTCCTGTTCTCTCGTCTTTCTCCCTCCCCCTTCTCTCTTTTTCCCTCTCCTCGTTCTCTCTGTTCTCCCTCTTCTCTCCCTCCTCTCACTTCTTCCTTCTTTCCTTCCTTCTTTCTCTCCCTCATTTCTCTTCTCTTTCTCCTCTCCCTTTTTCTCTTCTCTCTCCCTCCCTCTCCTCTTTTTCTCTCTATTATCCCTATTCTCTTCTTTCTTCAATATTTCTTTACACTCTTTTCTCTCTCTCCTCTTTTCTGTGTGTCTCCCTCTGTCTCCTCTATCCCTTTAATCACAAAGACCCCGTGAATTAGATTATTTTACAGATGGGAAACTGAGGCCTCGAGAATTTTTTTTTCAACAACACCCGTGGTCACATAACTTACGGGTGAGAAGTAGGGGTGCCAATGCAGGTCTTGGTTGGGGTGGTTAGGGAAGGGAGTGGGCTATTGGCAGATAGGAACACTGTTATGTTTGCCGTTCCAGCCTGTTTTATGTCCGTCAGGCTTTAGGAGCTGCGGGAAGGACTGTTAGAGGAGCCAGTTTAAATTCCTGCGGGGAGGGAGTTAAAGAGCAAGCAGGCACTTAGTAAATGCTATTTGAATTGTGTTGAATTAAATTTAACCCAGAAAAATGCACACCCTATTTCATATTATGGAAAATTCAGATCATAGGATTTAGGCCTGGAAGTGACTTTAAAGAACATGAGATACCCTTCAGTTCTACAAACATTAAGTGCCTACTGCATACAAGATACTGCTAACTCATTTTAGATGGGAGAAAATTTGAGTTTTTAAAAAAATTTTCAGATACTTTGGGGCTCAGTTATATCCCCTGGGTTTACATTGAAGGTGGGGTGAAGGGGGGTAAAGGGAGAGAGGGAGGGGGAGGGGGGAGAGAAAAAGAGAGAGAGAGAGAGAAAGTGTGAGTGTGAGATTAGGTGTAGTTTATTGGGTTCACCTGGTTGCTTGTAGTTCCCAGGGTCCTTATTAAACACTTTTAACCTTTTAAGGGAAGTACTCTCCAAATATCAAGCATCATCATCATTTTGGTTGTTGAAAAGATGGAAAGAAAGTGAAATTTGCTCAGGACTGGCTGAATGACTGGGGAACTGGAGATCTTAATGAGGAAAAATGTAAATTATTAATTGTCTTCTTTGGATGCCTCTATGCTTAGCCTCTGGGCTCACTTACAAAGTAATAATAGAAAGCATCTCACTAAGGAGATAAAGAATGCTAGGAAAAAATCCTTTTCAAAGGCTGACTAAGTGTGGTGGTTAGGTGAGAGCTGTTGGAAGTATCACAATTCAGACTCCTCCTTGGCAGAAAAGTAATTGTGTTAATTCTCAGTGAAGCTGTATGCATGTGAGGTGGAATTTAAGGAAACGTTGACATTTGGGCTGTAAATGAAGCAACTTACTGGGAATAAAATGAGACTAGGTTAGGAGTTCTTAGCCTGGAGGTTGGGAACTTGGAGATATATATATATATATATATATACACACACGTACACACACTCATCCACTGTATATCGATATATTTGCTTTCCTTTGTGATTTTTTGTATTTTGTGCATATAAAAACATTCTGAGAAAGGATCTGTAGGCCTCACCAGACTTGTGCCGAAGGGATCCAAAACATAACAAAAGTTAAGAACCCCTGGAATATAGTTCTCTCCTTCCCCCTCCCCCACACTCCTTCCCTTCCCCTTTCCCATTTCTTTTAAACACTATTTGGAATCTAGTTTGCAAACAGTATGCATGTGGTTTTAACCACAAGGAATGAACTAGATAAAATTAATGTTTCTACCCAGGTCTATTGCTTCTTATATTGAGAATGTTGAATTTGTTTGCTTTATAGCTTACTTTGTACATTTAAATAGAAGTCACAATGGATAGCTTTGTTTGTTCAAGGTACCAAGGCTATATAAGTTCCTGTTGTGTGTAAGGTTTCAGGGGATACAAAGATGGGAGTGGGGAGACCCACTTTGCTGTCAAGATTTTGGTCTAGTGGAGACTAAAACCTATATACAGATAGCTGTGCTATTAATTAGAATGGCAGAAGTTAGAGAAGGATAAGAGACTGGCATGAGAGATTTGCAGGGGCACAGTTCATTTTTAGCTGTGTTGTACAGTGATTCATTATGAGCTAGCTGTTATCGGTAAGGTGCCATTTTCTCTTTATGAATTTCATTCAGTGTTTGATTAGAGGCAGACTCTACTATGCCATAATAGTCTTCATCTTTGGAATGAGAAGTTGCTAGAATGCCTTGACATAACATTTTGGCTAAATCTTTGACTAATTTCTTTGAGCATGAATCCTTCCAGGATAAAAGCCCTGGTTTTTGTGAAAGGAAGGGCTTAGTAGAATTTCTGACTGGATTAGCTAGCATTTCCTAGAACTTTTTGGTGTCAGGACCCCTTTATACTCTTAAAAATTATTAAGGACCCCAAAGAACTTTTGTTTATGTAGGTTATAGCCATCAAATATTTACCATATTAGAAATTGAAACTGATACCATTTAAAATGTTTATTAATTTATTAAAATGGCAATAATAACCCATTGCATGTTAACATGTTGACATTGCTATGAAGAATTTTTTAAAACAAAAATTAGTGAAAAGAGTGGCATTGTTTTATATATTCTTGGAAATCTCTTTAATATCGGACTTAATACTGGATTCTCATATCTCTTGCATTAAATCTGCCTTAATAAGTCATTTTGGTTGAAGTATATGAAAAAAAAATCTGGCTTCTAAAGATATGTAGTTGGAAAGGGGAGGAATATTTTAATAGGAAAATAATCCCTTAGTATTATGAAGCACTGGACTTGGAGTCAGGAAGACCCGAGTTCAGATATGACCTTAGACACTTCCTAGCTGTCTGGGCAAGTCACCTAATCCCATTTGCCTTGGTTTCCTCCTCTGTCAAATGAGCTGGAAAAGGAAATGGCAAAACACTCCCAATATCTTTGCCAAGAAAACCCCAAATGGGATCACAAAGAGTAGGACACAACTGAAATGATCTAACAACAACAAGTTATTGTGAAAATAGTTTTGATCTCTCAGACTCCCTCAGAGCACTCCTTGAGAATTCAGGTGGGGCAGCTGGGTTGCACAGTGGATAGAGCACTGGCCCTGGAGTCAGGAGGACCTGAGTTCAAATCCGGCCTCAGACCAAACACTTGACACTTAACTAGCTGTGTGACCCTGGGCAAGTCACTTAACCCCAATTGCCTTTAAAAAAAGCGGGGGGAGACAATTCAGCTGCAAATCAAGTGATTTGAATTGCCCAGGGTTACACAGCCAGTATATATCAAAGGCAGAATTCGAACCCTCAGATCTTCCTGACTCCAAGTCATATTCCCAGCTGTTAGGTTATGAAAAATACAGATGGTTGCTACTGAACAGGGAAGCTCTTATTGAAGTCAGTGGTGACCTGTTCATCCTGTGCTGGAACCAGGAAGGTGGAGCAGAAGGGGAGTGTGGGATGGAACTCAGGGGTCATGGAACTTATTTGTATTTATGAGGAGTGTCTCCCCAACCCCCCCCCCAAGAGTTTTTTTCCTAGACAGACGTAATGGCTTGTGTATAGTAGGCTTTATGTACAAGTAATTAATTGGTTTTTATCTTAAGTAAGGTAAAGCAGAGGGCCTAGGAACAGAAGCTGTGAAGCATCTTGGGAAGGTACAGTGTACCTGGGGACCCTGGTCCTGATAGGAGTGGGGAGGGCCACTGCTGCAAATACTGCCCCCTTCAATCCCCGTTGAACTTTCCACATTGACAAGGAGGGACCGTGAAAGGGGAATGACCAGAGTTGGGGGAGAATTAGCAGCCAGCCTGAAGTCTCCACTCAGCCTAGGACAAGGGTGAGGAATCTGTGGCCCTCTAGGTCCTCAAATGTGGCCCTTTGACTGAACCCAAACTCGACAGAACAAATGCCCTTAGTAAAAGGATTTGTTCTGTAAAACTTGGACTCAGTCAAAAGGCCTCACTCAAGGACCTAGAAAGCCATATGTGGCCTTGAGGCCACAGGTTCTTCACCCTTGGCCTTGTGAGGCCCTGTGAAGAACCATGGCCCTGGACTTTGGCTTTTAGGCACATTCCCTAAGCCGCTCTGTCTTTATCTCTCCTATGTCAGTCCCTTCTCCCTTCAGAAATGCCCAGCTCTCCCCATCCTTAAAAAAAAAAAGCAACTCTCACTACACCTTACAGTCCCTTCAAGCTATCTGTTTCTTAGCCAGAGCCCTAGAAAAAAATCTGTCTATACTCGCTGCTGCTGATTTCTCTAATTTCCTCAGTCCTTTGCAGTCTGACTTCTAGACCTCATCACTTGATTGCAACTGCTGTTACTAAAGGGATCAGGGGTGTCTTAATTTCCAAGTCCAATTGTCCTTTTTCAGTCTTGATCTTTTTTCTACCTAACGTCTAGATTTGACACCATTGAGCACTCTTCTCCTTGATATTTTCTTTGTACTCTCCTGGTTTTCCTTCTACCTGTCTGTTTCTTCTTTGTTTCTTTTGTTGGCTCATCATCCAGACCACTTTACCTAAAAGTTCCCCACGACTGTCCTGGGCCCTCTTCTCCTATGTCTGCATTATCTCTCTTGGTGATTTTATCAGCTCCCCTCCCAGATTGATAGATCAAAGTCTAATCTCTGAATGTCCTGGAGACATCTCAAACTCAACATATTCAAAAGCAACTCATCTTTCCTGCCACACCCCCTCCTCTTCAGACTTCCCTCTTTCAGTTGAAGGCACCACCATTCTTCCAATCTCCAAGGTCTATAACTTCAACGTTATTCTTTTCTCCTCACACTTCCTCACCTCACAGTCAGTTGCCAAATGATGTTTGTTTATGTGGTTATTATGTATTTATGGTTTTATGTGGTTCATACCTCTACAACATTTCTTGTATCCAGCTCCTCCCATCTCCCAAAACCACCATCTTAGCTCAGGCTCTCCTTGCCTCTTGTCTAGATTTTTGTAGTGGTATCCTCATTGGCCTCTTGCCCCACTTGAGTTATCTTCCATAATGCTGCTAAAGTGACTTTTTCTAAGCACAGATCCGACCGTGTTATTTTCTTACCCTGTAGAACCCTGGGGCACACTATAGCCTAATGAACTGTCACATCAAGAGGTAACTTCAAGTTTTGAAAGCATTTTTATTGCCTGCTGGATAAAATATAAACTCCTCTGCTTAGTTTTTAAAGACCTTTAACAGTGTGGTCCCAACCTATTGTTCCTGCCCTCTTGTATATGACTCCTATGGTACTCTGCATCTAGCCAAACTAGCTTCTTCTCTGCTTCTTAGACACAGCAACACCCACATCTCCTCTCCATGCCTTTGCAATAGTCATCCTCTGTAACTAGAATGAGCTCCCTCATCACCCCATTTCATGGAAGCCCTCTTTCCCTTAAAGGCTTACCCCACATACCACCTTCTAGGTGAATCATTTCCTGATCTGTAATTGCTTGTGTCTTCCTTCCCAACTAAGTTATGTTTAACCACTTTGTATTTATTCTCTTTGCTTGTTTTGCTTAAACTCACATGTTCTTTTTGCCTCTCCCACTAGAGTATAAGCCCCTTGCAAGCAGGGAATTGGGTATCTGCAACCTCATCACCTAGCACATAGTAGGTGCTGAAAGAATGCTTGTTGATTGGATTGATCTAAAAGCATAGAGGAAAAACAGATTTTCCTAGAAAGAAAATAATAGGAAAAGAGCATTTTTCCAAATAAATTTGCCGTTTTTTTCAAAAAGGTATAGCTTTAGCTTTTGAAGCATTCTTGGATGATATTGTAGAGTTGTTAAGGCAGGCTCAATAGTTTATCTTCTACTGTCTTTGACTTTAGGACATCAGTGTTGGGTTTTTTTTTTTGTTTTTTTTTTTTTTCCCACGCACTTGCAGTGCTGGGTGTTCTGGCAGGAGCAGCTTTATGTTGGTTAAAGGAATCTTCTCTCATTGCAGGTATACCTTAAAGAGCTGGAAAAATGACTGACTCCAAGTATTTCACAACCAATAAAAAAGGTAAGGCCAGGTAAATGTGTGAGATTTTCATGGAAATAATAAGGTGTCATTCCCTCCAGCTAAGGTTTTGGCTGAACTAGACCCACCAGTGGATAAGGTGAGGTTTATTTGACGTATCTTTAGCTACAATACTGTTCTAGAGAAACCTCTTGGTGTTTGAATGTGACAGTAAGCCTGTGTAAGGTAATCCCAGTGTTTCCGGATGGTAAAAAAGGTAGAATTGCCCAACTATCTTTGTCTCCTCTTGGCTTGGGAGGAAGAGGGGAAAATCTCCTGTCCATTTGGCTACAAAAGCTGAAGAAATGATTTGCTCGCATGTCGGAGTGATCATTCTGCCGGATCATTTTAGGTTCAGGTTGGATGAGAGGTGATCTGTAAGGTTCCTTCCCTGTCAAAGATTCTTTGTTCCCAAAGACAGCCTGGCAGAATAGGCTCTGGTTCTCAGATCGTGCACTGAGAGTTAAGTCAGGTGCCCCATTCTGGCCAATTGATGCTCCTCTGAGCTGGATACGGATTTTTCCATCCGAGTATAGAAGTACGAGCACTGGCTGAGAGCTCTCCTTCAAAAACCCTCTCTTCTAAAAATATGACTTTGAACCACCCACTTGAGAGCTGTGGCTAGCTTCCCTTTTCTGAGCTCACTTGGGTTAGGCAGCTTATCCTTTTTAGTCATTGGTTTTACTGTCTAAGATAAACTTCCAGCCTAGGAATCTTGGTGCAATGGGGAAAAACACTACATCTGAAGTCAGAGGGCCTTGTTTGGAATCTTGGCTTTGCCAGTCCCTCTGTGTCTTTGGGGGAGTCATTTAACCTCCTTTACCTATAAAATAGAAGAGTTGGCCCAGATGATCTCTCTGGTCCCTTCCAGCACTAAATCTGTGGTCCTATGATATCAGTAGGGTTCCACAACATGAATAAAACTGGGTTGTTCCTGTCTCTTCAGTGCTATATATGCAGAACTTTAACTGCACTTTGTGGATAAGTTTCTCTTCTGATAGATATGGGAAATTATCCTGAATAGTACTCGTTCCTGTGTTGGGTGTAATCAGTAGAGCCCAAAGACATCGGGGGCATACTTAGAAGACCCAAATACAGTTTAGTGCCATCCTCATGGTTTTACCACTATTTCAAGATTCTGTCGTATCATGAAGTAGCTTTTAAATTTTGAAAGAATTTTTAACCTTCTTGTTTGAGGTTAAACCTTTAATGTTGCTGCATACGAGGCACCTCAGTTGTCTCCCTTTCACTTTTTTTTGTTGAAGTGCTAGAAAATGATCTTTTGTCTTTTTAATGTTTTAATGTGAATTCTTGATCTGTCACTACATTTCCTTATGCAGAAATTCAGATTAATCCTAATCATCTTTTCATCAGAGAGAGCACATACTAAATCACTTTTTTATATTGCTTTATCCTGTACCTTGGCTTCCTTTATTTCCTATGGTCAGGCTTTTCTGCTTGAGTCTCCACTCATTGAGGGCAAATGTGTTTTAGTGGCAGAGAGAGGAAAGTAGGAGAGTGGAAGTCTTTTCCTAGTTGATTTCTTACAATCCTTTTCTAATCCATCTTTGTTTTGAATTCCTTGTGTCTCCCTGTCCCCAGGGACCCTTATAACTTGGCTTCCTCCTCTATGAATGTCATGGCTATCATCTACTCCTCTAACTTTTGATTGATGAAAACATGTCATGTTTTCTGTTCCCTTAAATTCCAAGGATCAGCCTGTTTCTCCCTTCCTTTCCATAGCATTTTACTTGCTTTGATGATTGAGCTGTCTTCTGTCTCATACAGGGATATTATTAAAGCTGTTTGAAGGAACTTTATTATCCAATGCCCATCATTCAAGGGGCTCTGTTACTTTCCTTTATTCAGGCGTTTATAACGTCAGCCTCGCAGTTAGACCTTTATTAGGGCCAGTGCTATCAGAAATGTTAAGTTGAAAATTTTTTTAAATAATGGAAAGAGCACAATAATTGAGTTACCCTTCTCTCAAATTATATTTTAGTCAGTTTGAGTAGCTTCTGCTACATCCTTTTTTCATTTTGCGACTCCTGCTGCTTATGATGCAGTGTTTCTGGAATCCTGCTGTTTGCTCATTTGGGGCTTTTAGGAAATAAATGATGGGAAAAGAGAAAACTGGATTTTGGCAGCTTTGAATTTTGAGGGAATCCAACTTAGCTGACTGCTTTTGGCTATGCTATTTCATTTTGCTGAACAAAAAAAAAAAGTAGTTTTTCATTTGGAATGCTCTTGTCTTCTTTGTTTAAGTGGGTATTGATGGCACAGACCCCACTAGAGGTGCTTGATTTCTATGAAAGTCATAATGTGCTGTTACCCATCTTTTCCCAATTGTTATCCCACTGGATAATATTTGAATGCATTTATAAACTGGATTTATATCAAGGATGATTCAACATTAGGAAAAAGAATGATTGTAATTAATTACGTTAAAAACAAAAAGCTCCAAACTACATAATTATTAATAATGTGTTAATATTAAACCACATATTAATAATGTAGAAAAAGTGTTTGACAAAGTAAAATACTAATTTATACTGAAAACACAAAGTATAGAGGGATCTTTTTCTTTTAATATGACAGAAGTATTTAAGATGAAAAAGCAAACATTATATGTAAATATAATGGGAAACAATAGAAATTTTCCTAATAAATATAAGAGTAAAGCAAGGATGTTCCTCTCTCCCTCCTATTATTTGATAGAGTTTTAGAAATGCTAGTAATCAGCAATAAGATGAGAAGGACATTAGAGACATAAGGACGGGCAAAGAGGAGACAAAACTATCTGTGATGACACTGTGGGTTACTTAGAAAATCTTAGGGAGTCAGCAAAGAAACTGACATAATTAACAGCTTTAGCAAACTTGAAGACTGCAAAATAAATCTACGAAACCCAACAGCATTTCTATATAATAATCCAGGAGAAATATTAGGGGAATTCCATTCAAAATAATGACAAAATATTTGGGAGTCCATTTACTAAAGCCCGTGAGGCCTGTATAGATTCAATTTCAAAATATTCCTTAAAGAAATAAAATCTTAAACAGCTAGAGTGCTGTTCAGAGTTCATAGCTGGGCTATGCCAGTGTAATAAAAATGATAATACTGCCAAAGTTAATTTATAAATTTGATACTATGCTATTCAAACTACCAAAGGAGGATATTTTATAGAGCTGGACAATAGATTAAGAATTATCTGAAGGAACAAAATAATAGAATATCAATAAAATAATGAAAGAAGTTAGGAATGAATGTGGAATAGCAGGCCTAAAACTGCTTTATAAAGTGGCCATCATCAGCACCATTTGATACTGGTTAAAAAATAGAAAAGTAGATCAGTGGAACATACTAGGTGAAGAACAAACAGAAACTGTTGAATTCAGTAGACCAATGTTTGAGAAACCTCAAAAAACAGTGGGAAAAAAACTTAATTGATTAGAATGGCTTGGAAAATTAGAAAGCAGACTGGCAGAAATTGAGCTTACACAGAATTTTGCCCCACATTCCACAATAAGTTCAAAATGGATACATGATTTATTGCCTTCTCAATGAGTGGGGGAGGGAGAATTTGGAACTGAAAATAAAATAAAATTCAATTTAAAAAATGGATACGTGAACTGAATATTAAATATATCATTACAGAATTAGAAGAAAAGCAAATCATAAACTTCACAACTGTGTACAAAGGGTTGATGTCTTAATGTAATAAGGGATAAAACAAAATAGATAATTTTGATTAAATTAAATTGAAAAACATTTACACAAACAAAATTAATGCATTTAGGATAAAAAGAGAAATGATTGGATAGGGAAAATTTTTTTTCTATCAAATATCTATGATAAATATATATTCTCATCTAAGATATAGACTACTAAGAGAAATATTTAAAACCAAAAGCCATTCCCCAACCGAGGAGTGGTCAAAGGATATAAATAGTTTTCAAAAGAAGAATTGCAAACAGTTAACCATTTGAAAGAATGCTCCAAATTGCTAATAATAACAGAAATGCACATCAAAACAAGCATGAGGTTTCATACTCAGCAATTTTTTTCAAAAGAAGAATTGCAAACAGTTAACCATTTGAAAGAATGTTCCAAATTGCTAATGATAACAGAAATGCACATCAAAACAAGATGAGGTTTCATACTCAGCAATTTGGCAAAGACGACAAAAGATGGGAATTACTAATCTTGTAGAGATTGTGAAAAAACAATCACACTAATGTATTGTTGGTGGGGCTTTGGACCACTACAACCATTTTGGAAAGCAATTTGAATTTATGCAAATAAAATGACAAATATATGCATAATACCCTTTGGTCCCTCGAGTCCTCTACTAAGGATGTGGCCCAGGGAGTTCGTTAACATGATGGCTTCATAGACACCAAAATAATTGTAGCTGCATTTTTTTGTGGTAACAGAGAACTGGAAACAAGGTAGATAGATGCCCAGTGACTGGAAATGCCTAAACAAAATGTGGTAGATGTGTGCAGTGGAATATTGCTGTGTTGTAAGAAATTATGAACACAATGACTACAAAGAAGCATGGAAGGGCGTATATGAATTGTTGCAAAGTGAAAACAGTATATACAGTGATTATAACAATGTGATTGGAATGAACAAGAACAAAACAGTCAAAACTTAGAGTTACAAAATTTGGATGATCAAACCTGTTCCAAAGAAGAGACAGAAGATACTTCTGTTCCTTCACCCCATATGTTCATTGGTTTTGCTGAATTTTTTTACTTTTATTCTTGAAACTTTTTTGTTGTTTGTAAAGGGCTTCTCTTTCTGGGTGAAGGAAAGATAGAATGGAAATTGTTGGTGAGTCTGCCTTTCTGGAGATGCACAGGAATTATGTGAATATATAAAATTCTTTTCAAAAATAAAACCAGACCTAAATGATCAGAGAGAGATTAATTGCTCATGGTTGGGCTGAATCAACATGAAAATTATAGTTCTACCTAAATTAATTTGCTTATTCGGTGTCATATCAATCAAATTACCAAAGAATTTCTTTTTAGAGCTAGGAAAAAAATAATAAAATTCATCTGGAGGAACAAAAGGTCATTAGTCTCAAGGGAAATAATTTTAAATAGCAAGAAGAAAGGTGGCTTTGAAGGACCAAATCTTAAATCATACAGAGCAGCAGTCGCCAAAACTAGTTGACACTGGTTAAAAATAAAAAAGTTAATCAGTAGAACAAATTAGTAACATGACATTCTGAACTAATTAAAAATAGTAGAATAGTTTTTTGTAAACCCAGGACCCAAACAATTTGGATAAGTACTCAACATATGACAAAAAAAAAAAACAAACCAAAAAACCAAACTGGGAAAACTGGAAAACTATTTGGAAGAAATTACATTTAGACTGACATCTTATACCACATTCCATAGTCAGCTCCAAATGGAGAAAAGATGTAGATATAAAAGGTCATGAAAGCAAATTGGAGCAACACATACCTTCCAAAGAGATGAAAAGCAGAGGTAAAGGACCAGTGTGTACAAGAATATTTATTGCAGCACTGTTGTATCAAAGAACTGGAAACTAAAGAGAGTGCCCATCAGTTGGGGAACAAATATTGGTATGTAAATAGTATTGTAGCCTAAGAAATGATGAAAAGGATGGATTGAAAGAATTTTGGCAAGATTTGGAGGAACCAGTATAGAATGAAGTAAGCAAAATAATATGAATAATTCATACAATTTTAAGGAAAATAACTTTGAAAGGCTACAGTGATCAGCCATGACTCCAGAGGATGTCCAGATGTAGCATGTTACCTATGTCCTGACAGAGAGATAGATGATGACTCGAGGTACAGGATGGATCATATGATTTCACACATGGCCAATGGATTTTTTTTTTTTTTTTTTTGCTTAAATGCTTATTTGTAGTAATGGAGGTTTGGTTTTTTTTTTTTAATTTTGGGGGAGTGAGTTTGAAGAGCTGATGGGGGCTAGAGCTGGTGATGCCTCAGGAAAAGAAAAGAAAGAAGAGGGTCATTGTTAAACTATATGGAAGAAAACAGAGGGAAGTTTAGAGAAAGACACAAAGAAGCAGGATAGCTCTGAAGCTAGAATGCTGATTGCATAATGAGCTCTGAAAGTAATGTGTTGAATTTATTATATATTTTTTAAAAAAACTATGCCTAGTAGAGAGTGGCAATTTCAATTTTTGCCTCTTTTTCTTTGTCTTATATAGGTAAATATTCATGTTTATCAAGTTCAGAATGACAAAATTTTTTTAAACTTAAAACTTATTTTACTTTTGAAAAAGAAACCCAAAGTAACTTGTTGGCCTGTGTTCAGTTAATTCCAGCTCTTTCTAAGCTACTCCCTTAAAGAGGTTTTGCTATTTATCTTTAAAAATTTTTAAACACATTTAAACCAAATAATTTTAAGTATGTGTAGTCATCTGTTTGATATGTAAAATATAGAATTTCTTTGCTCTATTGTTAGAGACACTGTAGTCTGTAACACGTTAATACTAAGATTATCAAGAAGTATCTGGTACTTTGATGTCAATTGAATGAGTATTAAGGTTCTGCAAGTCAAGTTCATTTTCACCCATACATTAAGAGGATTCCTGTTAGTCCTGGTTTAGTCTTTTTACAGGGCTCAGCAGAGTTTCTGGGACTTGGCATTTATCAATTGCCCTTCCATATGCTGAGTCTTTTATCCTATATGTCATGACTCCACTGGATACCTGTCGTGGTTTTGTTTTATTTGTGAAGTGTAACGTAGGTCTTAGTTACTTGGTTCTGGGACTTTCTACTGACACAGTCTCTCTCTTTCTGTCTCTCTCTTTCTCTGTCTCTTTTTGGTAGGAGAGATCTTTGAACTGAAGGCAGAGCTCAACAATGAAAAGAAGGAGAAAAGGAAAGAAGCTGTCAAGAAAGTGATTGCAGCCATGACAGTGGGGAAGGATGTCAGGTAAGGGATCATGTGCCTGCCCCCCACCCCCATTCTTCCTTCTCTTTTGTTTGCTTTCCTCTTTAATTGCACCTCTTTTGTGAGGCAGTACGGAGTCCTTCCTAAGTTCCTTCAAGACTGACTCCTTTGTTAACTCTACCCTGGTCTTCAGATAATGTCCTAGGAGAAGATGGTGAATTTGATCTTGTCGTACACTGATCTAGCTAGCACCACACTGTCAGGGAGCCGGCATCCTTGTGAATCTGGGACCAGGACATATTCATGCAATGTTAAAATTGCTTCAGGAGGCAGAAGCTTCCGTCCGTGATTACTACTGAGTTTAAGTCAGCATTGTCAGTTCTTTATGAGCCCAGAATTCATATGCTGAGTTAAAGAACCAGCCTATTTTAAGAAATCTGTCTAGTTTGAACAGATTACAGTGTTTCTATGATTTAGCACAATTATTTTGGACTTTGAAATGCCTTCACCAGATGTGTGAGATCATGACATGTAAGGCAAGTCTTCATGAAAGATATTCCACAGCAGTTCCTATCTTTTTGACCACACATTTGACTGAAATATGTAGAGAATGCAGAGTGACTGAGCTTATTTTTGGTTGATTATAAAAAAGTGTTTTATTTAGTAGAACAAAATGCAGCCTTCGAAGCCTTTCCTCCAACAAAGTTCCTACTATGCATAAGCTAGAATCATACAAGACTCCTTGCAACATGTAATGACAGAGGGGCAGCTAGGTGGCGCAGTGGATACAGCCCCAGCCCTGGAGTCAAGAGGACTTAAGTTCAAATGTGGCCTCAGACACTTAACACTCACTAGCTGTGTGACCCTGGGCAAGTCACTTAACCCCAACTGCCTCAAAACAAAACAAAAAAATGTAATGACAGAGAGAACATTATTCAATCTCTGATAAGTAATTTTTTAAAAAGCCCAAAATAGGGAGACTTATGCTTACCAAAGGTGTTTGCCACTGTCATGGAAGAGGTCTGTGACAATGTCCGACAGGAAGAGGAAATCCCTTACAATTGGTGAGGTAATCGAGATATTCCTGTTTGTGAAGGACATTGCATTGTTGACTTGAAACCCTGGAACACTGCAGAGCCTCCTGAATGAGATCTGTCATCACCCAGGAGAATTTGTTCTCACTGTTCCCACAGAAAGAGTCAGATAGAAGAATGTCTGTTGTCTAGACTGATAAGCAACTTGAATGCTCAGTGTATAAAGTTGTCGCATGGGCAGTGAACTAGGCCCAGAATTGAATATGAGGAAGACAGTTGGAAATTGTCTCAGGAAATTGCCAGTGCCAATAATGACCCCAGCCTTCTATGAGACAAAATTTTGAAACAAAATTTTGATTTTTATATATATATGTATATATTATTTTTACTTTTCAACATTTACTTCCACAAGATTTTGAGTTCCAAATTTTCACCCCATCTCATCCATCCCCCCACCCCAAGATGGCATGCATTCTGAATACCCCTTCCCCTAGTCTGCTTTCCCTGCTATCTCTCCCTCCTTTCCCCTTCTATTTTCCTGTAGGGCAGGATAGATTTCTGTACTCCATTTCCTGTATTTCTTATTTCCCAGTTGCATGTGAAAACATTTTTTTTGTAAACATGTGTTTTTTAAACTTTGGGTTCTAAATTTTCTCCCTTCCTCCCTCCCCACCCTCATCGATAAGGCAAGCAACTCAATATAGGCTATACATGTTCAGTTATGCTAAACACTTCCATAGTAGACATGCTGTGAAAAACTAACTCTATTCCCTTAATCCTATCCTCCCCCCCATTTATTCTGTTCTTTCTTTTGACCCTGTCCCTCCTCAGAAGCATTTGCTTCTGATTACCCCCTTTTCCAATCTGCCCTCCTCTCTATCATCCCCCTACTCTCTTGTCCCCTTCCCCTCCTATTTTCCTGTAGGGTAAGACAGATTGCCATACCCAGTTGAGTGTGTATGTTATGCCCTCCTTAAGTCAAATCCTATGAGAATAAGATTCACTCATTTCCTCTCATCTTCCCCCGTTTCCCCTCCACTATAACAGCCTTTTCTTTTCTGTTTTTTTTTTTGTGAGATAATTTCCCCTGTTCTACCTTTCCCTTTCTCCTTCTCCTAGTATGATCCTCTCTCACCCCTTAATTTTATTCTCTAGATATGATGCCTTTATCTTCAATTCACCCTGTGCCCTCTATCTTATCTATCTATCCATCTATATCTATATCTATATCTATCTATCTATATATATACATACTATATATAATTTTTTACTACCCTAATACTGACAAAGGTCTCATGAATTATAAATACCATCTTTCCAGGCAGGAGTGTAAACAGTTCAACCTTATTAAGTCTCTTATGATTACTCTTTCCCGTTTACCTCTTCATGTTCCACTTGAGTCTTGTATTAGAAAGTCAAATTTTCTATTCAGTTCTGGTCTTTTCATCAAGAATGCTTGAAAGTCCTCTATTTCACTGAATGACCGTTTTTTCCCCTGAAGAATTATACTCAGTTTTGCTGGGTAGGTGATTCTTGGTTGTAATCCTATCTTCTTTGCCCTCCAGAATATTATATTCCATGCCCTTTGTTCCCTTAATGTAGAAGCTGCTAAATCTTGTGTTATCCTGATTGTGTCTCCACAATACTTGAATTGTTTCTTTCTGGCTGCTTGTAATATTTTCTCCTTGACCTGGGAACTCTGGAGTTTGGCTACAATATTCCTAGGAGTTTTCCTTTGGGGATCTCTTTCAGGAGGAGATCGGTGGATTCTTTCAATTTCTATTTTGCCCTCTGGTTCTAAAATATCAGGGCAGTTTTCCTTGATAATGTCTTAAAAGATCATGTCTAGGCTCTTTGTTTGATCATGGCTTTCAGATAGTCCAATAATTTTTAAATTCTCTCTCCTGGATCCATTTTCCATGTCAGTTGTTTTTCCAATGAGATATTTCACATTGTTTTCTAATTTTTCATTCTTTTGGATTTGTTTTACAGTGTCTTGATTTCTCATAAAGTCACTAGCTTCCAGTTGCTCTATTCTAATTTTTAAGGAAGTATTTTCTTCAGTAATCTTTTGGACTTCCTTTTCCATTTGGCCAATTTTGCTCTTTAGGGCGTTCTTCTCTTCTTTGGCTTTTTGGACCTCTTTTGCCATTTGAGTTAGGCTATTTTTTAAGGTGTTATTTTCTTCAGTATTTTTTTGGGTCTCCTTTAGCAAGCTGTTAACTTGCTTTTCATGATTTTCTTGCATCACTCTCATTTCTCTTCCCAGTTTTTCCTCTACTTCTCTTACTTGCTTCTCAAAATCCCTTTTGAGCATTTCCAAGGCCTGGGACTGATTCAAATATTTTTCTTGGAAGTTTTGGATGTAGGAGCTTTGACTTTATTTTCTAATTCTGGTTGTGTGTTTTGATCTTCTTTGTCACCAAAGTAAGATAATATAATCTGACTCTTTTTGTGCTGCTTGCTCATGATCCCAACCAATTATTTGAGTTTTAAACTCTTTGTTAAGGTAAGAGTCTGTTTCCAATGTGGAGAATGTACTGTCCCAAGGTTTGGGGGTTTGTACAGCTGTTTTCAGAGATACTTCTAGGGACCTGAAAAGTGTCAGTTCTTCCAATGTGCTATGATAAGGGGCGAGGTATTTCCTCTCCACCGCCACAACAGGCTCCACCACGCCAGCATTCCTCCTCACCCCAGGACTGCCCCTCAGAACTGTGATCCAGATCCAAGCATGGGCAAAGCAAGAGATTCCTGCCTCAGCCCTGGCAAAGAGATCCTTGCAATCCCCCTCTGATCAGCCACTTGATTCCCCCTCAGTCTGTGGGCTGGAAGCTCAGAAGCCAGCCACTTTCCTCGGGGCAGCTGAGATCTAGCTTCTTCTCTCACTGCAGTAACAGACTTTTCCCACTGACCTTCTAAGTTATCTTTGGCGTTGGTGGGTTGAGAAGTCTGGAAACTGCCGCAGCTGCCCGTGATTCAGTCCTCTGAGGCCTGCTCCAGGGTTGCTGCGGCCTGCGTGCCCACGCTGCACTGCGCTCCTCTCTCAGCCCAGCATGATATACCTTTCTGATGAGCCATCCAGGTTGTCTTGGGCTGGAAATTTGTTTTACTCTGTTTTTTTGTGGGTTCTGCTGCTTTAGAATTTGTTTAGAGCCATTTTTTGTAGGTATTTGGAGGGGTTTGGGGGAGAGCTCTCGCAAGTCACTGCTTTCCCTCTGCCATCTTGGCTCCCTCTAAAACAGAATTTTAAATGCCAGTCTTCTTTGCAATGCCACAGCTTCTAAAGGATTGAAATTCTTGGTCTTCAGGGCAATAGAGTTTTGTGGTGAATGTTTGTAGATGGAGAACTTTATTGGAATTTTATGAGTGGATAAAAAGATAGGCCAGTTTTGGAGACGGCACGATAACTGATAGCCCCTCATGCTCCTTTGGCATCTATGTGATGTCAGGAGATTAAGAGGAAGAGCCCTAGCCCCTTGCAGGGACCTTTTTTGGTAAACTTGAGAGGGAATGTAGGAGTCCCTTAGGAAGGACAGGCATGGATCCACTGTGACATGCAATATCTGGAAGAGCACAAGTGGATGAGACCAAAGTTGACTTCAGAGTATGAAGATGACCAAAGTGGGAGCCTGGGGCAGGTTGTGAAGAAACAGCAGTGAAAACTCTGACGTCTCTGGTGTTTTATGTTGAATTTTTTTAGTGCACTGTTACATTCAAATTTTAAGCCGCCAATTGGTGATCATCTAATTCAGAGTTGGGGAACTTGAATTAGGGACCTTGAGGCCCTTTTATTAAGGGAATTTGTGCTATGAAGTTTGGATTCGGTCAAACGGCTGCACTTGAGGACCTGAAGGACCATATGTGGCTTTGAGGCTGCAGGTTCCCCACCCCAATCTAGTTATTGGGTTGTTTATGCAAAGGAGAAAATCTTTTACCTTTTCAACTCAAACTCAGCTTCTACTAAAGGACATTTTTCCTGTAGTGATTTTTAAAAAAAAAATTAATTTTTTTTCAAGTAACAAGCCATTTTAAAATTAATCCCCCCCATTAAGCAAATTGAAAACAAAAGACAAAACCAAACCCTGGTGATGTTGCTCCAGAGTCCAGTAGAACAGTTCCCACATTAGCCATGATCAGACAATTCCTTTTCCCCCGTCTTTTCTCCTGTTTCTGGCTCACAGCTTTTTTGGTTCCCTTTGGTGCCTCTTGGTTAACCTTTGTGCACCCTGACAAGTTGACCTGCACACAGCATTGAATTTTCACAAATGATCAGTATTTGGATGATAGCTTGAGATTGGCAACTTGCAGATTGTCAGATGCCTCAGAGTTCCTGATATTGGATGTCAGTGTCTAGAATTTTTCCACAGGCATTTCAGTACAAGATTTTAAACAGTTCTATAGTCTTTAGGTTGATTTGATCCTGCTAAAATCTTGATTTTGTAAATAGACCAGCTGATTTCAGATTTTCTGTCTATCAACTGCCCTCCTGACAGATGCTAGAAAGTTGTTTTTACAGGATGATGATGGTAGACTTTATCACTGTCAGAGACTTTTCATTGACCTCCAGTTTGTGCATGAAACTTGTGCTGGGCCCTACAGAGAACAAGTTAGGGAGATGTAATCCTTGCTGTCTGGGAGCTTATGATGTAGTAACACGTGGCTCATATTTTATTAATTGAGAATATATATTATTCTTTAAAAATAGGCCCAATAAGTTAATGTTAATACCTGGCCACAATCTTAGGCTTCAGTCTTCAATTATCTGTGATTTTGTGGATGTGTGTATGCCTTTCACAAATGCAGATTGCAGAGCCTCTTTAATGTTGTAGATTGGTCTTTGAGAATTGCTGTAACTGAAAAATTAATCACTTTGTGTTTCGAGGATGGTTTTAGGATAACTGTACAAGTCAGTTTGCTATGAGATCCAAACTGATGATCTTTACAGTTAGATTTGGACTTGCCAGACCTGTGCTAGAGGGAATCCAGAGTCATGTTCACGCAGTGACAAAAGTTGCAGTGGGAGATTATTGGCAGTTAACATCTGTAACTTACCACAAAAGTCTTCCCTGGGTTGCATAGCGTATGTGATTTCAAGATACATTGAACAGGTATAGATGTTGGCATCTCTCATATAACCTCTTTCTCACTCCTTTTTCCCTCTTCTTTCCCTATCCCTGCCCCCAGCTCTCTCTTTCCAGATGTGGTGAATTGTATGCAGACGGATAACCTGGAGCTGAAGAAGCTTGTCTATCTGTATCTGATGAACTACGCCAAGAGCCAGCCAGATATGGCCATCATGGCTGTCAACAGCTTTGTGAAGGTAGCTTTCCTAGCAGTCTCCTTGCCACGTGTCTTCTGGTTTGGTCGGTGTCTGTACTGAGGACACGTAAGTGCTCTGTGTTCTGAAGGATTATACAAAACTCAAAACCTCACAGAGTAGTACCAGCAATGACTGGGAGGATGGCTTAGACATTGTTTAGAAGCCCTTCAATTTCAGGGGACCTCAAGCCACAGGCCTGCCTCCTGCCAGGTGAGTCCAGTAGATTCTCCTCTTGCCAGGTGAAAAGGAGCATGTCAGCTGAGTCATTGCATCATACTTGGCTGCTGAACTGTCAGTGTGACTTCTCCCTCTTAGTGCCAGAGAACTAATGAATAAGGCAGATGCATTACCTTACATTTTAGAAAAGCAGGTAACCCGATTCCCCATGAAGGAATTGATGTAATTCTGCAGACCTTCTGAAAGGCGAAAATCAGGATGCAGAATTTCTTCTGCCTTTCTTTTAACTTGCTTTTGCATGTGCCTGTACATGTGGAAGCAGTAGGTGTTAGGTGGACAGACTAGTAGTATATAAAGAAGCTTCTCTTGGTAGTGGAGAGAGAAGAGTATTTCTAAGTCATTGTTACTGCCACATTGGTAACATATGATTAACAAAAGAACCAGCTCCTAAGCAATTAAATAGGCAGTGAGAACCTACTGTGTGCAGTAGTGGAGGCGGGGTTTGGATTCTAACTTTGAGCATGCTCTTCAGGGGAGCTGCCATTGGGGGCCTCTGACCTAGGGAGACTGGTTTTCTTGTGTGGCTTGTGGAAGCCATCCTCATTACATGATGGTCATAATATGTACGCTTACACTTTTTCTCGTAGGATTGTGAAGACCCTAACCCATTAATCCGTGCCCTGGCAGTCAGGACTATGGGATGTATTCGGGTAGACAAGATCACGGAGTATCTGTGTGAGCCACTTCGGAAGTGTCTGAAAGATGAAGATCCTTACGTCCGAAAGACCGCAGCAGTCTGTGTGGCCAAGCTGCATGACATCAACGCCCAGATGGTAGAGGATCAAGGCTTCTTGGATTCTCTCCGGGATCTCATTGCAGACTCTAATCCCATGGTAATATGCCCCTGCTGTTCTAGAGGGTACATTATTGAAAATAGGTTTCCTTTCAAGATTCATTGTATTCAGTTGGCCCTAAGTGAAATCAGCTCTCTTGTCTTTAGAGTATTATACAAGACCTAATTTTGAAACATATGATCTCTGAATACTTGGATTACTGCTGAGAGGTGGGAGTGGAATTCATCCCTGCTGACAAATAAGACTTACAGCAAATAGGCTTGGGATGGGCCTTTGTTTCTGTCCCCTTCCTCTGTATTTGCTTAGAAGGAAGGTGAAAATTTTCATAATTCTCTTCAACATATTGTACCCTTAACCATTTGTGAAATGGTCTTTCAAAAATTACCCAAGTAAATAACACTAATAAGGGTTTAGCTGATGGAGATAATTGGATCAGAGCAATCCTTATTTTCTAATTATTTCCTTAGATTTGTCCAGGGGCCCTCTGGGGCCTGCTTCCTTTTAGTTGCTGATGTTAAGATTAAGAGGTGTTTAGCAGTCGGATTATATGAGCTCCTGAGATATTTTACTTATGTCTTGGGGTTTTTTATTTCTGGTGCTGTGACTCTAATCCCCTCCACATTTGCCTGTATTAGGAAGAGGGAAAAAAATCCCAAGGGATCCACCTTGACTATTCCAGTAACTGTGAAGGTCATTTTGATTGGGTGATTTGAATGGAAAGAACATGGCTGCTTTCTTTGGCTAAGGCTTTTGATGAATTCTTAACCTTGCAACTTAGGATAAATGACAATAACATTTAAAGGTTAACCTTTCGCAGTTTCTGTGTGTTGAATTTTTCAAAAGCAGTTTCTGATTTGAATTGTGTGAATGATACGATGAACTCCCTACTCTTTCTTCCAAGTGCTCTGAAATCCATTGCACTCCTGCAAAATGACTGTCAGGGAAAGGCACTCCCTGGGCAATTTGACCTGAACTGGATACCATCTGTTTTAATTCTCAATAAATGATTTAAGCATCTGATTTTAGGTTTCACGCTTAGTTCATATAATTCTCAGGTTGTCTAGGCTATGATAAGCTGTTAGATTTTAAGTTTTAAGATTAGAGCACAGAGCACTTTAAATTCTTCTTCATTGATTTCTACTTCCTCAACTGATTTTTAACAGATTATTGTGTTATGACATAGCATTAACACTTTCACTTTAACAGTTTTTTTTTCCCCCGGGCATATGGAATGTAGGTGCGGTTTTAATTGTGATGTTAAAATTTCATTCTGTAATGAAGTTTAGGCAGCATAGTCTGTAGTAGAGACCTTTGAGATGGGACTGAGTTCCATTTCTGGGACTGTTACTGGTTTCCTGTGTGACTATGGGCAGATTTGTTTACCAAAGTCTAGCCATCTTTTGAAATGCAGGGGATAATTCTCTGTCTCCCTCAGGGTATTTTCTTTTTCTTTTTTTAATTTTTAACATTAATTTAAGAAAAATTTTGAGTTCCATATTCTCTCCCTCTCTCCTGTTATACACCTTGAGAAGGCAAGTAACATGATATCAGTTATACATGTGAGGTCATGCTAAATGTGTGTATATATATATAGATATATCTATATATCTATATATATATATAGATATATATATATTTTAGGCGATTGGGGTTAAGGGCCTTGCCTAGGGTCACACAGCTAGTAAGTGTCAAGTGTTTGGTCTGAGGCTGGATTTGAACTCAGGTCCTCCTGACTTCAGCGCTGGTGCTCTATCCACTGCGCCACCAAGCTGCCCCTAAATATATTTCCATATTAGCTGTGTTGCCCATAAAAGGCAAACAACATAAAGAAAGTGAAAAAAGTCTGCTTCAATCTGCACTCAGTTCATCAGATCTCTCCAGAGGTGGATAGCATTTTTTCATCGTGTGTTTTTTGGAATTGTCTTCAATCATTGTATTGATCAGAATAGCTAAGTCTTTAACTCAGGATATTTACAATGAAAAAATTGAGACCAATTGGTGCATCCTCCCTCTTCTCGCCCTCAGCAGCATTCCCCACTCTCTTTCTTCACATCAGTCCCTGAAGAAATGCACCATTGATCACATCCCCTCCTTTCCTTCTTCTGTAGCATATTGTCCCCACCATCCTTCTCCTTCCATCTTCAATTTCCCCAACAACTGTTTTTTTCCTACTTTCCAAGCCTCTCTCATTCTTAAAAAAACCCACACTTGATTTTACCACCTCACCTACCTGTTGTCCTGTAGCTTGTCCTGTATCTCTGCTTCACCTTCTCAGTTAAACTATGTGAAAAGCTATCTATATTCAGTGCCTCCACTTATCCTCTCACTCTCTTCTAACCTTTTTGCAGCCTGGCTCCCAATCTCATCCTTAGTCTGAAACTGCTACTTCTAAAGTTACCAGTGATTTCTTGCTTTACAAATCTTTTCTCAGACCTATGATCCTACTTTATTTTAGACTGATATTTTTCCTTTAAATTTTGTCAATTTCCAAGTAAAGGATAAAGTTAGAAAGTTAGGTTCTTGAAATGTGCTGTAATGTGACAGTGATAGAAAGTCAAATTTAATTTACCTAGAGAAGCTAAGATCTGTCATTGTGAATTTTTTTAAAAGAACTGATGACAGATAAATTTTTTAGCTCTTCTTTTTTTTTGATTTTTAAAAAAATTGTATTTATTTTTAGTTTTCAACCTTCACTTCCGTAAGCTTTTGAGTCTTAAATTTTCTCCCCCTTCCCATCTCCCTCACCAAGATGGCATGCAATCTGATATAGGCTATACATATACATTCCTGTTAAACATATTTTCACATTACTTCTGTTGTAAAGGAGAATTAGAGCCAATAAGAGGAACCACAAGAAAGAAGAAACAAAACAAGACAGAAGAAAAAAAAAGAGCAAATAATATGCTTTGATCTGCATTCAAACTACATAGTTCTTTCTCTGGATGTGGATATTTTCCATTATGACACTTTTGGAGATGTGTTAGATCCTTGCATTGCTGAGAAGAGCTAAGTCTGTCAAAGTTAGTCATTGCACAGTGTGGCTGTTACTGTGTACAGCATCCTCCTGGTTCTGCTCACTTCACTCAGCATCAGTCCATACAAGTCTTTCCAAGTTTTTCTGAAGTCTGCTTGCTCATCATTTCTTATAGCACAGTAATATTCCATTACATTCATATACCACAACTTGTTCAACATTCTCCAATTGATGGGCATCCCCTCAATTTCTAATTCTTTGCCACCATATAGAGTTGCTATTAAATATTTTTGTACATGTGGGTCCTTTTCCCATTTTTATGATCTCTTTGGGATACGGTCCTAGAAGTGCTATTGCTGGGTCACAGGGTATGCACATTTTTGTAGGCCTTTGGGCATAGTTCCAAATTGCTTGCCAAAATGGTTGGATCAATTCACAACTCCACCAACAATGTATTAATATTCCAATTTTCCCACATCTTGGCTCCAGCATTTATCATTTTCCTATTTTTGGTGACAGATCAATTTAATCAACTATAACCAATATATCTCCATGATGTAAAACCTTCCAAAGTTTGCTCGGATCTCTGTTCCCATTGGATACAGATCACTATCTGTCCATCTCTTCCCAATATGTGCTGCTGTAGTCTGTGTCCTTCCATAATTTGCTACAAGTGAGGGTTGATATCCGTATAGGTTGGTATCCTGTACCCTGAAGATGCTAGAGGAACACTCAGAGAGTCCACTTGCTAGCCCTCACCCTTAACATGTGACCAGCCCATTTTCTCCACTACATTTCCCCTAGAGACATATTTTACTACTATTTTTTGACATTCCCTTTTGGTTAAATGTTTTAGCTTAATCTTTCCTTCATGCACCTCTCTATTGTCCTCTATGTGAAATTCATTTTCGTTCTCGGGAGATTATTGTATCTCCTTTCTCAGAGCCATAAAACAGAACCAGTAGAAGACTAATATAAAACAGATGGGCCTTTGTTTCCAGGAGAAACCTGACATCTTTAGAGGAGCTTTGCAATTTGCTTCATACAGTCGGGCCCACGTTTCTCCTCTTGCTTAGCTCTGGACCCAGTTTCTGGTTTGTTTGTATTGTCCGTCCCAGATATGCATACTAATGGACCAGTTCTGTATAGGTTAGCCATCTAGCAGCATATGTTATGATCTGGGCAATAGACATTCTTCGTCTGTTTGGCCTTTCCCATATGGAAGGTCAGGCTCTTGATTGGTTACCGATTTCTTTCAGGAGGGTTTAATCTTCCAGGGCTTGATTGACCCAGAACAATGTTTGCAAACAAGAGCATGTGGAGGACTTTGCTATTCACGTGTTAAAGGGAATTCCTCTTCAGCTTGGATTTCCTCCATCACAATGGTGAACACCTTTGGCTAGCATGACGTATCCTGGCCTTATGCTTCACGTGATGTTTATAATCAGAGGGTCATTGAGTAAGGTTTGTTTTTTCTGTGACTATATCTTTCAAGGAATCTTTAATGATTTTGATAATTGGATAGGAGATCCTTAAAAGAAAACCGTTAAGTTAACATTTTGTTCTACCAAATCAAATGCCTTTTCATAATCAACAAACAGTAAACACAATGGGATCTTGTATACTTTACATCTTGTGGTCATTCATGAGAGGATAAGGGGTGGAGTCTTTTGTAGAACATCACTTGCAAAGCCTGAATATTCCCAACTCATACTCTCATTATGGATGTCGCACATTCATGTGTGGTTGTTGAGTTGTTTTTTTTTTTTTTTTTTTTTCAGTTGTGTCCAGTTCTTTGTGACCCGATTTGGGGTTTTCTTGGAGAAGATACTGGAGTGGTTTGCCATTTCGTTCTCCAGCTCATTTTATAGATGAGGAACTGAGGCAAACAGGGTTAAGGAACTTGCCCAGGGTTACACAGCTAGTATCTGAGGCCAGATTTGAATTCACAAAGAGGAGTCTTACTAACTCCAAGCCCAGCATTCTATCCACTGTGCCTCCTGGCTGCCCATGTGTGGATGAGTGTCTTAAAGATTTTGGACAGGTAGGAAGCATATATCAGTAA